AATATTTAAATTTTATATTATAAAATACTTTTTTTAAATTTAGAATTTAATTTATGCATAACATAAATCAACAACTTCCATTAACCCTAGCAGCCAATTACCCAAATTAAATTCTACTTTTTAAATAACTGAAGAATCATATTATAACATAATTTTAAAATTATTTTTTAAATTTAAAATTTAATTCCTACGTCACACAAATCACCATCCTCCATTAACCCTCGCAAACCCCGCATGTCCCACCCCGCAGTGCCCGGGTCGCGGCTCTCACCGCCGAGGCAGATCCGAGGCACCGCGTACATGTCCTGCTCGGCGATGGCACCCGCTGGCACCTTGGCGTTTTGGGGCACTTCTGGGGCCGTGGGGCACCTCTGGATGAAGTGGGTGTCGGCCAGGCGCACAAAGGTGTTGGACACCTCCGTGTAGTCCATGGTTTTCCCGTCTGGGTGGGAGGAGAGACACGGCGCGGGGAGCTGGGGTGGGCCTGGGGCTTTGGAGGTCCTCCTGCCACGAGGACCCCACAGAGCCTTGGGGATCACAGGCCCGAACACAAATCAATGCCTGGTTGTTAGGAGCTTCCAACCCTCCGTGCTCTCCAAGAGCAGATCCCGGAGGTTCCTGAGGCTCAGGAGGACATGGTGACACCATGGCCACCACTGCAGGCGGGCTGTGAACGCCCTACGGTGCCTCTGGTCCCATCCACCACTCCCAGATCCCGATTTTTTGGGCTTCCTTCCCACCTTCCATGGTCTCAGTGAGGTGATCAGCCACTCTGGCCACAGAGCTCATGGGAAGCTGCCCAAGGACCACAACAGCTCCCCAAAGAACATCCTACAGTACCTCTGCTCCCATCCATACACTAATCCTGCTCCCAGATCCCGTTTTTTTGGGTTTCCTTCCCACCTTCCATGGTCTCGGTGAGGCGGTCGGCCACCCTGGCCACGGCAGAGCTCATGGGCAGCTGCCCGTGCAGCAGCAGCTCCTCCACCAGCAGCTCCCCTGGGTCCCCATAAAGCTCTCCTGGGTCCTCCAAAGAACACCCCACAGAACCTATGATCCCATCCACAACTCCCAGATCCCATTTTTTTTGAGTGAGGAGCTTCCTTCCC